GACCAAACTCTACTGAGAGTCCGGTAAGAAAAAACGCTTCTTTTATACCCTTCTTGGGTTCGTCTTATCCACCAATCAGAGACGTTTTATTTGTCGCGTTCCACATTGTATACGTGACGCTGGGATCCCCAAACAGTCAGGGCACGATGTATATCTAATGGTACCGGTGATGATGTATCGCGGTATCTACTATATACAGTTNCACATTGTATACGTGACGCTGGGATCCCCAAACAGTCAGGGCACGATGTATATCTAATGGTACCGGTGATGATGTATCGCGGTATCTACTATATACAGTTTACATCACCGTCTTTGCCCGCTGACGGAACCGACGAAAATGTAAACCGATATCTTAGTATCTTAGTACTAAGTAAACTATAGATTAATTTTTGTTCGTTGTTAAAATTTCAACAATCGGGAATATCGTTGTTCCCCATAGGCGTGATACAGTAATTTCTCCCAGGAATACGCTAATTTCTTCCTAATTCGCGGTGAGATCGCACACGAAAATGGACAATTTGGGAAGAGGGGATACGATTATTCGAGCCTTGCGACTCGTTTTTATAACTGTTGACAATCGGTATATCATGTCCAAACTATATCATGTTTGGTCTCATTTCAATTACAAAACTATCAGCAATATATTTAAAAAAGAAGAACAGTTTTAAAATGTTAAATGTGTGCCACAGTCACCGACTCCGTCGATCTTATCTTAGTACTAAGTAAACTATAGATTAATTTTTGTTCGAGGCTAAAATTTCAACACATATAATGTATTCGATGATTAATGTTAGATATTTATTTTTGAACTTAGGGTGTCTCCAGCCCAATGAGGTTCTTATTCCGCAACTTCGCCTTCTGAAAAATCGAGGTCAGCTCGCTCGAATCCGATCGGCACGATTTACGGGTTGAAGACTGGAGTCGAAGTACCCGAATGCTTCGTTTGTAGGCTGCTATTAGTCGCGTGTGCGGGCGGAATCGCAGGATTCGGGTTCACGGCGCGGAATAAACGCATCCTTGCTCCCGTCTCCGTTTCCGTCGGCTGCCGTGTTAACGGGCGGCACGTTCATCATCAATAACAAGCCCGTGGCAAGTGAGCCAGCCTCTGGCTGCATACTGATACGCCTAACCGCGTCGAGACGCCGCGCGGTTTCCGATTCTTCCTAAACGCGCTCCTTTTTCAAAGTTTCGGGACTTTGATTCGATACAATGTTGCTCCGTAAAATAATCGATGAGAACCGACTTGATTACAACCGAAGCGCCAGAAGTTTGGGTTCAACGACTTCGATGTTAGATTGAATAACTTTGTTTGATAAAACTTGTTCGATAATGTTCAAAAGTCAAACATGGAAGGAATATTGTGTAATTTCAGGTCCCTCGAAGTTTATCATAAAATTAATGAGGAAAGTCTTCCATCAATTGCAAGAGATGAAGATTTAATCCCTTGCACTATAACAACGAGTTAGACTCACGATGAAGATACAAAATATGGATGCTATTCATTTTTAATGAATAGAAAGAAAATTTGATTCTTCTGTTATCAAAATCTCAGAATGAAGGTAAACGAAGACATACACGAAAGAAAGATTGTTTCGTTCTATTAGAGAAATTATTAACACTAACTCTACTGTGCATTAAAAGTAAGCAACGTGTTAAGACACGCTAATCAACGTAGCTGTGGAAGAAATCCTAGTGCAAAGGGTTGAGTCGATAGTTGTTCCTTGTTTTAATAATTCTAGTAAGTTAATAGTAATATACCGGGTGTCCCAAAAATGTCTCGGAATTCTGAAATAGGGGGTTCCCGAGGTCATTTGAAGTAACTGTTTCCTTAGCGAAAATGCAATCCGCGGCTTCGTTAACGAGTTATTAACGAAAAACAGTGACCAATGAGAGGCGAGATCGGCTGACACAAAACGGCTGAGTCAATGAGCGGTACTGGGCTTCGTGCGTTCATTGGCTGGGACGCCACACCTCATATTAGCAACGAAATTAAAATCGATGTACAGTAATGTTTCCCTAATTGTCGTCCAAATGTGCACTATAATAGCTGCACTATAATAACTAAACAATTTCGGAAGAGGAGACGCGATTATTCGAGCCTTGCGGCTCGTTTTTTATAATTACCGATTGTCAATAACTGTAAAAACGGGCTGCAAGGCTCGAATAATCGTATCTCCTGTTCCCAAATTGTCCATCTTTGTGGACAATCTGATCAATTAGGGAGACGTTACTTATTACGTCACTTCTAGCATACCAAAATTACTGAGATCAGCGTTGTTCTAACAGAATATCATGGTCACAAAGACGCGAGCGAAGATTTCGCTTCAAAAATCCTTGATAACCCGAAGCGTCGGTTTGAACAGGCAGTTTCGAGGATCCAGAGATCCTATAAGGATCATCAAGATTCGCAGTATCCTCCGTAAGTGTCGTGGTACTTAGGGTACCGAGAATGCGCGTAGATACGTGTGCTAGGAGCTGAAAACTGATTCGATTCGAATCGATTCGACTCCGATTCAACGCGCAGACAACGGGGAGCCGATGTTTGCCGACGAGTCGTGTTTCGATTACTATTTGAAGAGGTGTCGAATGCTGATCGTCGCCCGGGGGCTAAACGCTGTCCGTATTTCATAAACCTTTGTCGATCGAGGCTGATACCGTGTCCGTTGAAATGTACAACGATGGGTCTCGGTTGCAAACGCTACGAGACCGTGAGCATCGCGCGTTAGGCGAGCCCAGGTCAAATGGGGAAGAAAGTACTCTAATCTGGGGTATAAAGCGTTCGCTAATCCGTGCCGTTAGAGCTCTACGAACGCCTAGAATTCCTGGAACCTTACGGGCGTCCCAGTTCGCCGGTTACATTCGAGTTTCACGTGCGAGGACATTGTAAGCGACAGCCGAAGAGAAATTCGAGACGATCGGTTTGCAGCGTTTGTCGAACTCTTAGAATGCGGCGATTGATTACAATTGTTTCCCGTGGATTTAGCAAAAACGATCTTCAGTTTAATCTTCTGTAGATCGTGTAAGTCGTAAGCATGCTCTGAACTACGTACAGTTATTTTTACTCCGAATAGCATCTATCAAAAGATATGCACATCGTTTAAGTATATTAAGTACATTTTAAGTGTCCCGTTGCATCTGTGATAAATAGAGAAGTTCCAAGTAAAACAGAGCTTTATCTCTCACGAAGAAACGATTTATAGCAAATAGACTGCGAATGTTTAGGCAAATTTAAATTTTCAAAATAATTGAATCAAAATCAGTCAAAATAATTGATTTCCGATCTCTTCTTTTACGATTGCTGATATTATAAAACTGAATCAATGAGAAATTTTTAGATACACTTTTTTGTTCCAGTATATGTTATAATAAAAATCGGAGTTTGAAATAAATCTAATCTTGTCATTGTTATCGAATATTATATTTCGTCGAGACATAAATAACTTCCGTTTTTTATCAGACATTTATTTTCTTTCTTTTTTATTTAGTTTTATTGTTTTTTTATTTCATTTATTTCGAATCGTTATCTATCCGGTGAAAGCGAAAACACGTTTGTCCCGGTGACTCATAGTGGGTAGATACGAACAATAGATTCTACCTA